CCCTGGGTTTTGGCCACTGTGTGACACAGAGTGTTGGACTGGGTGGGCCACTGGACTGATTCAACATGACTTCTCTTATGTTCTTATGTCTGAGGCAGTGATGCTTTGTTTTACTGGTGCTTGGGGGGGGGAGAGAGTGGGAGGGCTTCTGGTGTCCTGGCCCCACTGGTGGACCTCCTGATGGCACCTGGTATTTCTGGCCACTGTGTGACACAGAGTGTTGGACTGGATGGGCCATTGGCCTGATCCAGCATTGGCTTCTCTTATGTTCTTATGAAAGCTTTTGCTAGAACTGGGACCCTCAACCTTTTTGAGCCTGAGGGCACTTTTATTATTCTGAGAAAGGCCGATGGATGCCACCGCAAAATGGCTGCCATGGGAGGCAAGACCAGCCCCCAAATGGCTGTCATGGGAGACCAACTCCAAACTTGTGCAAGGCTCCACGCCCTGCATCTCTCCGTGGTGGGGGACAGCCATTTCCCAACTGGCGCTGCTGACAGAACCAAAGGGTACATCTCCTGGAGTCTTCTGAAGCACCTCTTGCTCTAGTGAGGTGGAGGAAAACCAAGGCTGGCTGTTTGTTTGGGGGGAAAGGTGCTTGGGAGGAAAAGTCCTATGTGAGAATAAGAGCATTCGTCCACCATGTCACTGTTGCTGATTTGACCATGTGTTTTACACATATCATAGGTTAGCTGATTCGGGTTGATGTCAGCTCGCCAGGTCTCTCTGGGCAGCCATCAGGGGACGGGGGGTGGGCTTACCCGGGACAGGGAGTTTCCTCCGACGTTTCAGCGACATGCCTACATGACTTCCTACATCAGTTCCGGGTAATGTTGAAGTCACATAGGCACGTTGCTGAAATGTCAGGTGTCCCTCCATTTTGGGGGGCGAGTTCCACTGCTGGCCAGCTGATTGGTGGCAGTGGGGCCTGGCATCAGGGGACCTTGCCCCCACTGGTGGGTCTGGCATTCGTGAGTTGATGGTCTAAGTAACTGTGCTCTTTATTCAACTAGCATTTAGTCAATTTGATATACTTTAGAAATAACAGCAGCAACAACAATAATAATGGAGCGTCTGTGAAGTATTTCCCCAAGAATCTACTAGTACCCATTCCCCAGAAGTGGTTTATTCTCCTCAGTGTGCCAACAACATTTCCTTCAACTGTTTGGTGTAGTGGTAAAGAGCCGGTTTGGTGTAGTGGTTAGGAGCGTGGACTCTGATCTGGGATCACCGGGTTTGATTCCCCCCTCCTTTTCCCCCTGGCTCTTCTGAGACCACTTTTACCTCAGTCTTTTTCTGGAAGTCGGTTTTGAGTTGCCTTTTCCGTTGGGCATGGTGTTTCTGTCGGTTCCCTTTGTCCTGCCTCCATGAGGGTTACCTGCAGGTCATGACCTCCATCTCTAGAACGTTGGTGGCTCAGAAAAAGAACACCTCCCTCATGAAATGGAGGCAGCCCTGTGTACGTTGCTCGAGCATGAGCGCTGGTCCGCAACGTTCTATGGAGGTCATGACCTGCAGGTAACCCTCATGGAGCCCGCTGGCTCAGACCCAAAGGTCCTTCTGCACAAGTCCTGTCTGGCCAAGAGCCCCTTGGTAGCCTGGCCCAATCTCGGGGCCGTCTCTCAGGAGTGGTTTGACGAGGATGACAATTCCATCCGACAAAAGTGGACTGGAGGTGGGTGGGAGTAGGCAGGACAAAGGGAACCGACAGAAACACCATGCCCAACGGAAAAGGCAACTCAAAATAGACTTCCAGAAAAAGCCTGAGGTAAAAGTGGTCTCAGAAGAGCCGGGGGGAAAAGGAGACCTGAACTGAAGGCATAAAAATGCATGTGGGAATCAGGGCTATGGGGCCCGAGCGATTGGGGGGGGGGCGGGAAACCATGAGAAAAAGCCCAAAATCAGATCTGAAACTGAATAGAGTTTTTATATATGTCACATTACATAGATGTTACATTTATATGTAACATTTTGCAAAGAATTTCAAGTGTGCCCATTAGAATTTACAAAGATGTTCCTTTTCCACAAGCATTTTCTTGCGTGGATTAAAATATTCCCCCCCTGCCATCTCTTGACATGGACTCCAGTAGTTAAAACAATTAAAACATAGCAATGATTAGGGGGGGAAATGAGAAGGCCAAAGCAAAAGTAGGGATGCCAACTCTGAGTAGGGAAATATCTGGAGATTTGGGGGGGCGGATCCTGTGGAGGGCAGTGTTTGGGAAGGGGAGGGCCTTCAGTGGGGGGTAATGCCACAGGGTCCACCCTCCAAAGCAGCCATTTTCTCCAGGGGAACTGATCTCTGTCATCTGGAGATCAATTTAACAGCCAGCAATCCTAGGGGAAAGTCAGCCACACAACAGGAGGTTGAAGAGAATGGTTTGACAGCTGCTAGCCCACCTCAGTAGCCAGCCAGCCATGGAGGAGCCAAGCAGGAGAGACAGCCGTTTTGGCAGTTTATTCTGTCAGGGAAGTGGCCAAGCTGGCAGTGGGTGGGAGAGAGGAGCAGACCCAGCACCTGGTATTTTTGGCCACAGGGTGACACAGAGTGTTGGACTGGATGGGCCATTGGCCTGATCCAACACGGGCTTCTCTTATGTTCTGATGTTCTTATGTTCTTTGCTGTAATTTTTATCATCCATGAAATAGATCATGTTCCTGGAGTAATTTAAAAAAAAAAAAAAACATCTTTGGCATGAGGGAATTATGGATGCTGCCCAAGAATGCGTCGCAGTGTCACAGTGCCACTCTGAACAGAAGGGCACTTTTCAAAGCCCGCTGTGTCCCGACGACTTAGAAGGGTACAGCTCTGCCTAGTGTTGCACTGTCAATGACGCACAAACAATATTTCCGCTTAAAACATTTGAATCCTTGGCCTTTTGAAAGAAAAAACATTAAGGTGTGTTTTCATGATCAACCAGCTTGGTCTTTAAATAGGTTGCCTGAGGGGGAGAAAAAAACCCAAAATGACGGAGAAAAAGGTTACGGTAGTTTCCAAACACGATCTACTCGTTGAGGGTCGCATCACATTTCAACTGGGATTCTTTTCCCCCAAACTGCAAGTTGACATTTGGGTGAAATTTTCTTTTGAAATAAGGGCGCTCCCCTAGGAAGAGCTTCTCCTGTGGCTGCACAACCACAATCCCTCCCTCTCTGCTGATCAAATGCTTGTCGGGGGAAGGACTGTGCTGTCGGCCACCTCCTTCATCATAGTGTGCAGGAACCCTGCCCCGATTAGTAGTAGTTGTAGTAGAAGAAGAGGAGGAGGAGGAGGAGAAAAAGAGGAGGAGGAGGAGATTGGATTTATACCCCGCCCTTCACTACCAAAGGTGTCTCAGAGCGGCTTACAAACTCCTTTTCCTTTCCCCTCCCCACAACAGACACCCTGTGAGGTTGGCAGGGCTGAGAGAGCTCTTGACAGAAACTGCTCTTTTTTCAAGATGAGCTCTGACAGAACTACGACTTGCCCAAGGTCATCCAGCAGCTGCAAGTGGAGGAGTGGGGAATCAGATGCTTTGATGTAGAATGTAGATTAGCATGCCTGGGAACATCCACTGGCCTTGAGTCTCAGCTTACACTGTCTAGCTTTTGTCTACCTGTTTGGGGGGATGTCCCCAAGGTGGGAACACAGAGCTGTTGGTTTGGGCGGGTGAAATACCTGGAGGTGATTGGCTCGTAACCTTTTAGGGTCCCTGTTTGAACCTTATGTATCTATTGCTTTCGCGCCCCTGTCTTCAGTTCTAACACAGCCAACGGGCAGGCTGTATCCTATCAACGTCTCAATAAGCTTATCATTCTTCTGAGCGAACGTTGTTGGGAACTGATTTCTCCAAGAGTCGGACAATGCCGTCCTTTGCTCTTGTATCATTACACAACCGACGTCTTCTCAGTGTCCACTTCTTGACCGGCCCTCTCGGAATGCCCTGCGAGGGTTTGTGCAGGGGAAGAATTACCTTCATTCCTGCCCCTGCCCCCCTGTTTTGCTGTATTTTCCTTCTCTAGCCCTGTCTCTGCCTACCAAACCTTCCTGCCTACTCCTCTTCCTCCCCCGCACCTCCTTCATTGATTTCAGTGTGTGACTTCTCATGAGATGAGACTGAAGTAACATTCCCTAATGAAAACTCTCCCGCCCACCCCACCCCCACCTTTCACAATGCATACCTAATGATATTGGTGCAATGGGGAATGTTCAGTTTCTTTCACACTGTCGATGTGACCGCTTCCTGTGGTTTCCCTTATCCCTTTAGCTACTGGTCTTTGATCTTCTTGATTTTTGTTCCTATATCGAGGACGTCTTGTTCTCTCACTAATTTCTTTCTTTCTCTGTCTCTGTCTCTTTGGCTGATCTTGCATCTCTTACTGGAACGTAGAGCAAAGATGCTGGTATCAGGACTTTGGTTATGTTGGATGAGCAAGGAGGTAAGTTCAGATTGTTTACCTAAAACCTTTAAAAAAGAATCATTTCGATATAAATTATCTGTTCAAAGAGACTCCCACAGACAGACATGTCGCAGAGTGTTTGTATGAGTTAGTGTAAAATATAAATCTGATTATTAGTAATGGAAGCCAAAAAAAAAATCTTTTCCAGTGTCAAGTGAAATGAATGGGGATTATTTAATGTACTGTGAACCAGGGCTATTTTTGGGCAGGAACGCACAGGAACGGAGTTCCGGCTGGCTTCCAAGTTGGCCACATATAAATTATCTGTTCAAAGAGACTCCCACAGACAGACATGTCGCAGAGTGTTTGTATGAGTTAGTGTAAAATATAAATCTGATTATTAGTAATGGAAACCTAAAAATAAATCTTTTCCAGTGTCAAGTGAAATGAATGGGGATTATTTAATGTACTGTGAACCAAATTGTTCCAACATAGATAAAAGGCAGAATTAACGTTTTGGTGATTGCAGCCTGGATGTTGGAGAACCCAAACTGTGTTTTCTTGAATGTTCCATTCAAATCCAGAAAACTAAGGACCGCTTCAAATGTTACAAATGCCCTACACAGAAAAGTCTCTTGTCTCAATCAGATGCCAAAGCTGCACACAGAACATTTGACATGGTACATCTGGTGATGCCAAAGTCAATCACAGTGCCCTGGTGCATGTCCATGCACCAAAATAGATGCATGGGCAGTGGTCAGACATGACTACATGCAGTTTGCATGGTTTTTCATGCATGCTAATGCTTTCTACACACAATGTATGTGACATGTGAAGCAGCTTCAAACTACCTGTGTTTAGGATTAAAACACAAAGAAACACTAAGAGACATTCTTTTTGGGACCCAATGCTGCTTCTGTTTGTACAGTCCCTGAAACGTTTAAAAATACGGATAGAAAAATCTCATAATTTAGAGGTTCTGGTTGATTCCCCACTCCCCCCCCACAAAGCCTGCTGGGTGACCCAGAGCCAGTCACGGTTCTCCCAGACCTCTCTCAGCCCCACCTGCCCCACAAGTTCTCTGTTGTAAGGAGATAGATCCAGGTGGGCTGTGTTGGTCTGAAGTGGTAGAACAAAGTTCAGTGGCACCTTGAAGATCAACTTTGTTGGTCTTAAAGGTGCCACTGGACTCAAACTTTGTTCTGCTCTGGGGAGAGGAAGGGAAGGCAATCGTTGGCCGCCTTGAGACTCCTTCAGGTACAGAAAAGCGGGGGTATAAAAACCAGCTCTTCATTTTGTAATGAATGAGAAGTAAAAAACTGCATCTTCTCACATCTTGGCCAATACCGATGTGCCCTATAAGCCATTTTATAAAGGTTGAAGTATACCGGCAGTCTACCATTGCACATTCAAGCCACCAGCAGACGAAGAGTCAACTTCCAGAGTCCAGACAGGACATAGATGAGGGCCAACTTGGGGGCCCCACCAGTGTTCCCTCGAGGCTGAGTTAGTGTGAGCTAGCTCACAGTTTTTTAGCCTCCAGCTCACACATTTTCATCTTAACTCAGGAATGATGGCTCCAGAGTAAACTAATTTATGCAGTAGCCAAATCGCTTGCTCACAACTTGAATGCCAGGAGCTCACAAAGTAGAATTTCTGCTCACAAGACTCCACAGCTTAGAGGGAGCACTGGTCCCCACCTCTGCTGTCTTATACGGAACTTTCTGTGTCCAAGACTTGCTTTCTGCTTGTCAAAAATGGGAAACGGCAAATGTGGCATGTGGATCAGAGGTGTCCTCTCACTACATTGCACTTTAAAGTAGACAGGGTGAAGCCATGTCACACTCTTTGCCTAGTAGGACAATGGCATTTCCTCTGATAATGGAAAGGGGGGAGCTTAACCCCAACGAGGGTTGCCAGGTCCCTCCCTGTTGCTGGCGGGGGGCTCCAGCCCACTGTCCTGGAGTCTTTGGCACGCACACACAGAGATGACGTCATCATGCAGAGCATGTTGTGGGGGAGGGGGGGACGCTCTAGCATTTGAAGGGAAACTATATGGTTAGTTTCCCCCCCCTCAGATGCTAGAATGCCCCCCCCAACAACAACGTGCCCTGTGCGATGGTGTCACCCCCAGACGATGACATTGCGCCGGGCACGTCGGCACGGATGGGGCTGCTTGGGCACAGGGCTCCCCCTGCTGGTCAGCTGAGCAGCAGGGGATTGAGCCCCCCAAAAGTGGGCATATCCCCATCAGCAGGATGGCAACCCTAACCCCAACTGAATTGGATTAAGATTCAGGTGGGGTTAAGCTTGCCAAGTCCCCCCGGGGGCGGGGAAAATCCCACCCGAGAGGCCCATTACCCGCCGGCGGTGGATCGAGCCTCGGGGGGAACCCCACCCCCAAAGCACGCAACGTGCCCGGCGTCAGCATGTCACCCGGAAGTGACGCAGTCGCGTCGGGCGCGTTGAGGGCGGGGCCGTGGTCATCCAAGGGAAAACTTTATGGTTTTCCCTCGGATGATTGTGGCCCCACCCCCGGCGTGCCCAACGTGGTTGCATCACGTCCGGGTGATGTGGTTGAGGCGCGCGCACGAACTCCCGGAGCGGCACTGGAGTCCCCCGCTATACATACAGCGAAGACTTGGCAACCCTAGGTGGGGTCACCATGTTGCCTTGAAGCAACAGAACAAAGTTTGAGTCCAGACTGGGCACCTTTAAGGTCAACAATGTTTAATTCCGGGTATTAAACTTGGTTGATCTTTTTTTTAAGACCCCCAGGGGGATTTTTTATTTTTTATAATACTACATAAACTACAAAGAAAAGAAGGGAAGGGGAACTACAACTAAGGAGAAAGAAAAGTAACCCACACTAAACTAAAAACCCAAGAGTAGGAGATCATTACCCTGTTAGACTGCAGTTAGTAATGAAAAAAACTGTTAAGAAACAATATACTTTGTGAGATCCTGTCTTTTTAAGCTTATGTGTTAGTTTATTACTTGTTATGAGAAGATTTCCAGAGCATCTCCTCCAGCTCTCTTCGTAAGGGCAATTTTCAGAGTCCTTCCGCCTTTATATCTATGCTAATTCTCTCTAAAGTCTTGATGGCTTCTTAGACGTTCACTCGAAATTCTGCAACCCTCCTCCGTCTCCAAAGTGATAACACCGCCAATCTTAAGCCTCTTCCTTCTTGGTCTCATCCTCGGGGCCCAGTGGCATCTCACAGGCTTCTTGATCTTGAGGTCAGGTTCAAGTTCTTTTCTATCAGCCGAATTTAAGACGACACTTTCTAAAAACATCTGCCGGGAAGGAGTTAAGTCCTTGTAAATCTTTTCTGTTTCTCTCATGCTTTCCCTCCTTGTCTTTTTGAGATTGCTGTTAGTTTTAGTGTCCACCTCTTTTGCTTTGACAGCCCTCTGTTCCATCTTTTCTGCTAATGTTGCCAACTGCAGCTGCCGGGACACGAGTTGTTGGTTTATCTTGGCAAGCTGATGGTTAATACCAACAAGTTGCTCAAGAATCAGCTTGATGGCTTCTGCTATGAGTTCTATAACTTTCACTTCCCTTCTTCTCGGAGTTGTTTTCGCTGACTTTTTTGGAGTGTCCACCATTTTTACACTTTAATTCCAATATAAAATAGTTTTCTCCCTGGCTCTGAAAATCGCCTACACGCTGTTTAGTTGCTTAAATACTCATGGATATCTCCCACAGCTTTTTGCTTCCAAGTATCCGTTTACAATTGTCTCTTTCTCTCTCTCCCCCCTCCCTCCTCTGCTTATCTAAATGCATCAGAGAGGTCTCCCTCTCTCAGCACGATTCCAGTCACTCAAGAGGTTTTTTGGGGGGATTTTTGCTTCAAAGTGTCCATTTACAATTCTCTCTCTCTCTCTCCCCTCCTTCCTCTGCTTATGCAAATGCGTCCGAGAGGCGTCCCTCTCAGCAGGATTCCAATCGCTCCAAAGGTTTTGGAGGGGGGGATTTATGTTTCTGTTTACAGTTCGCTCATTTTAACTCACAGTTCATTGTTTCTTAACCACGCTCGTAATCGCTCCTTCGCCAGATCTCCTGCGCTTGGCTGGGTCGGCACATCTTGTGCCTCACTAAGAGGACGCAGACAGCGGAGAGGACCGTCAGGGCGGAGGGCAGCCTCAATTCCCCTGCAGATAGCAGAAAAAGAGGCTCACCCTCAAAAGCCCTATGGCCTGGGGGGCCTCCCCGACCCCCCGTGGAGGTGCCGATCCAGCAGCACCCCTCCCCTCCGCTGCTGTGTGGAGCGCCCTCCCCGAGCCTCGGGAAAGGCGTCCGCCATCGTTGCGCCGTAGACCCCCAAACTTGGTTGATCTTAAAGGTGCCACTGGACTCAAACTTTGTTTAATCAAATTAAAAACCTAAAGGTTAAGAAGATCTGAATGTGTAAGCCCAATAATTATGTTAGTCAAATTTTTAAAAACCCATTAAATATAACAAAAATTATATCCTCCAGTTCTAATTGTATCCTATTAATGTGACCTATGGAATCCACTGTATCCTTCAAATATGAGTCAATTCTTGGAATTAATGGTTTCAAAAATTTATCCAAGTTGCATAGCAAGAGGTCCAAGACTGCAACCACATCCTGAGACAATAGGTCTTCCAGGTACTGTAACCACACCTTTATTTTGGGCAAGAGATAAAATTGTGGAGTTCTGCTCTCAGTTTCCTGGAGAAATTGACACAGATCTTGACGCAAAGCCTTCACGTAGGCCCTCATCTAAGATACTGGTGATTTCTCTCTTAATCTTAATAATACGATCCTCAGCAACTTCTCTGTATTGGGCACTGTTGGTGAGTTGCCTGTATGCTTCCTTAACGTAGTCTTTCCTATCCCACATATCACAACCACACACACCCTTACCTACTACCAGTTTGGTGTAGTGGTTAAGTGCACGGACTCTAATTTGGGAGAACCAGGTTTGATTCCCCACTTGAAAAAGAGCTGTTTCTGCCGGAGCTCTCTCAGCCCCACCTACCTCACAGGGTGTCTGTTGTGGGGAGGGAAGGG